CCAAAGCGAAACATTGTAAACCCAATTGTTGCCCATAGATATTTGCATTTTAAGAAAAAGCCAATCGAAACAAGCAAGCCAATTTGCGAATTGAATTGGCCACTTGCTTGTTTGCCATATTTTTCTATTAAAAATATAGAATTAAACTTTATTCTTTAGAAACTTCTATAAAGGTAAGGTTTTGGTTAAGTATAAGATAGGAAAAATGCCTTTGAAAGAAAGCCTTTTTATTTCAGTTAGAAGTTTTTGTAAATAAAGCGTTCAAAGTGTTTTATGAAAAACTTTTTGATTATTTATAGAATTTATCAAAACAAAACTTTTTAATAGTATCTTTGTGTTACATAGTTTTGTGATACGTCAGGATTATGTTGAACGATTTATTTCGGTTCAAGGAGTTATTTCTCGACCGATAAAATATGATTCCCCAGGGACGGATTTGGTCTGATCTAGTTTTATTTCTTAGTTTATAGCTACGATACTGCGTTGGAAAGATAATACAATGGTACAACAAATGTTAAAGATTTTTTTTTATTTTGACTATAATGTAAATATCTTAGCCAATAGAAAAATAATGTTTACGTTGAGTTATTTTGCTTTTTTATTTTCTTTGGCTCCTATTAGTTTTTAAAATTGTTAATAACACTTCCATCTATTTCTTTTCACCTTCTTTTCACGTACGATGGGATTTTTTCGCATATTATACTCGTATCTTAATAATTTTTTAAGAAAGTATTTGATACTAATCAATTTATGTACAAAAAACCACGAGAAACTACTTACATTTCCTTTCTTGATCAGAATTTCCGCAATACTATAATGAATTTAAAATGTTAAAAATCTTGTTTCGATTTCAAAGTGGTTATCAATTTCATAGCAAATGATATCGCGCGTACGTGGATTTACGATTCGGAGATTTTGCCTTCAGCTGTCGAGATGTTATTGCATATAAATCGAAATTGCAGCTCCCGGGGTCAACAGACGCATTCATACATACATACATACATAGATTTGCAATGATATTACATTTTACATTGTATCCAAGAACGTCACTTCACAAAATGCTTGTTCTATAAAGTATATATGTACTTGACCATGTTTTTTGTTTTAGATTTTTTTTTCAAATTAATTAAGCATTCGTGTATTTTTTGGTTGCCTTTTATTTAAATGAGCTCTTGAATATTGAGAAATAATATTCTTCTTTTCCTCTGTTAAATCACGAAGAAGCGAAATATATTTAAATAAAAGATAACAAAAATAGTTTCTTCAACATTTTATCCCTGCTTCAGTGTATCAATGGGAATGGTACGTGGTCTAATAAACCACAAAATAAACTCGAACGGTCTCCGGAATTCCCGCGGGAATCCCACTTTATTATGAGACGTAGAAAGAATTTGCCAACTGAGAAATACATGGAATAGCTCGCGCTAAGTTTGTTTTACATTCGTTCTTTTCATAAACGTCGTATTCGATTCATTTTGTAAATTTTTCTATGTAATAACATAAATTTACCTTTTAATAAAAAACGAATCTTTTTGTAACATTTGCCTTTTGTCTTAAAATTTATATAATTTTCCTATATTTCTGTTAAAAGTAACTTAAAAATATTATAAGTGCAAATGTTTGGATGGCTTGATGTTTGTTACGGTGAAGGAAAACATCTTGATGCAACCTGCACATATCTGCGAAGAAATTCAGAGATATGTGTGAAGTCAACCAACCCGCACTTGGTCAGCATGTTTGACTATGGCCTTATCACCCTTAACCTAGGGCAGGCTCCGAGCCCCTCGGTGGGGACGTATAGTGAGCTGATGATGATGATGTTTGTGACAAGGTATCTCCAGCACAGCTGCATATATCCCAATAAAATTTGCAATAGATGTACAACATAATCTGGAAGAACACACAGTATACTAACTAACTTTTTTACCGTGCGACCAGAGTCACGGCCACAGCTAGTAAATGTATGTCGCGGTAAACTCAAGTCATGAAGTACCCTAATTATTTTATTAGACCATTGACAATATCCATTTGTATTATAGCCAGAAGGAACCATAAACTAACGAAGCTTGCCATATTAAGCTTGTCATATGTCAACTGCGACTGCACCTAATAACCGATTAAGCGCATCACAGCACTGGAAGTAATTACTCCCAGAGGTTTGAATACGTCAATACTATAAACAACATTTTTAGGACTAATTTGTGAAATGGATTCTGATAGCTAAACGTCGTGTTAACCAAAATAAAATACATTAAAAACTACAAGACATGGCAAAGTCAAAAACAAAATATTCTCTTTCATAAACTAGAAGTAAGTTTTTATTTAATTCAACGCTTAAAGGTGAGTATAGACTAGAGCATTTACTTGTAACAGAACAACAAGCCGCTTAATTATGTTCTAGTGTATCACCATTTCACGAACAACACGTGCTTTGGAGACTGTGTCACATTAAATGTTACATCCTACTAATATTATAAATGCAAATGTTTTGATGGATGGATGTTTGAAGGTATGTCCGGAACGGCTCAACCGATCTTGATGAAATTTTGCACTAATGTAGAACATAGTCTAGAAGAACACATAGGTTATTCATTTTTTTTTTATTGAATTCAGCGCGGATGGATTCGCAGCCGATAACTAGTTACATATAAATGCTCGTGTAAACGCTCTAGTGTATATTCACCTTAAGGGGATGAGTATGGTAATAGAACTTTTTAACATTTTAAAATAATTTCCGTTTACTTTAGAGTGATATAAATTAGTTTAATTAATTGCTTCGTTCAGTGTTTAAATATACATAAGTAGATTAACTTAGTTAAGCATTTAAGCTTCAAAAAAGTGTTGGATTTATTAGAGCGCTACTTTGCTTGTTTCAGGTGTTATTAAAGTTTCAACAAGTTTGTTAAGACTATTAGTTAACTTGTTTAAATAAATAGTATTATCACTTTTACTAAATACTTCGAGGTAAAATATTTTTTTAAGTAAAAAAGTATTCAAAATTAAGTTAAAAGAATTGTAAACTGTGTGAAAAGTATTTCCATATAGCATTACCAACCGCGATGTATTTAAAGTACTTAATTAGTAGTCTATTTGATTTTCCAGACTACATTCTATGTCTGTGTCAATTTTCATCGAGATCTATACAACCGTTCAAGAGATACCTTCAAACAAACATCCATCCGAGCATTTGCATTTATAGTATTAGAAAGTTTATTTTAATACTAAATATAAAGAGGAAAAGTTTGTAATGTAACGTATCAAATGTTATTATTGTATGTGATAGCAACTTATGCGAACTTATACCAACTTGCTGATGGAAGAAGTTTGTACAGCTCTGTTTACTTAGATTCAAAGCTTTGTTTTGTATTTTAACTTAAATGTACAGATACATAAGAAACTTCTGTATTTGTCTGTAAAATGAGACCAAGTCTGTTTCAGTATCAGACGAAAGTTTCTATGATTATACGCGATACAAAGCTGTAGTAGCGACTATAAATTTAAATCTTACTAATATTATAAATGCGAATCTTTAGATGGTTGCATTAATGGATGAATGGAAGGTATATCCGGAACTGCTCAACGAACAAACAACAAGGCTTTTTTTAATACCGCGCGGAGAAAGTTGCGGGTGACAGCTAGTATAATAATAAATTCATTTTATAAAATATTTCAGATGTAAATAATAAAAATGTTAATTAAGCTAGAAAATTGCTTAAAACAAAGTACCTGAGTTAAACATTAGTAACACATAAAATAAATACCACTTTAAGGTAAGAAAGGTAACTTTTTCTCCTCTCCTACTCTTTTAGTTTAGCTCCATCCATATATCATAAATCTATATGAATAGGTAGCTATTTCACACGCGAACATCCACGCGAATCCATCAAAAAGAACAATTTAAATAAATACATATCATCAACAATGAAAAAATATTCCATAAATGGAAATTCATTTTTAAACGTGAGATAAAAATATATATAATAACTCTTTATCATCATCTCACTATACGTCTCCACTGAGAGACTCAGAGTCTACTCTAAGATAGGAGTGTCTAGACCATAGTCAATCAGACTGGCTCAGTGCAGGTTCCGTCACGCTGTTTTCCTTCACCGTTAGAACGTCGGATAAATGGACATATGTAAATCGAAAAACACTTGTAACTGGATTTGAATCCAGAACCTGCAGAGTACAAGTCAAGTGCTTAGTCTCTGAGCCACCAATCAAGTGCTCAAAAGTCACCTCATATTGTTATATCCAAGGCAATTAAAAAATTACACACTAATCCTTTACATAAAGTTTAAATCGAACCTATTGCATAATTGGTACTGAGCCTTCACAAATATTTACTTATCTTGTATAGCAACAATCAAGTTTGTACACACAACTTAATATGTAATTAACCGAATGAAGTGGCCCAGTGATTAATCTTAGATGCTCGTAAGCTATCTACGTACATACATATAAGTTAACTAAGTTACGGTTGCCTAACTTAGCGCGGCGTCGAGGTGAACGTATGAGCATCAATTAACATGCAGATAGACCGTTCTTGGACGGATTAGTTGCAAAGGGGCTCCCGAATATATATTCTGAGTTTCACTTTATTAAGCGATCTAGAGATAGTCACTTGGGATTACTGAATAAGTTTGTAAGCTTTGACATGTATTTGTTACTCTAGGGTCTAAGCAATTAGTCATCCCTTTCATTATCTTAAAAAAAAACAGAGACAAGAACAATAAATAGTTTTTTTTTTGATAACTGTAAAGTTTATGGTGGAAAAAGAGCAAGCAGAAACCAGAAATCGCTTAAGTAACTTACAGACTGCTGCCCATAGACAGATGCAATAAATTAAAAGGTTACCAACGGGTTATTAACCCTAGGAGAGTCACTCCATTAAACATATGTACTGCATCTTCAAAAGGAACAAAGGGATATTCCCTTTCCATATCCATGAAGAAAGAGGATTAGATTTGTTTTGTAATAATAAGAAGAAAAAGACTCACCTTAAAGCCAATCCATCGACTCTATCTTCACTGGCGATACTCGAGCGAGGTGAGCTACCGAGTCGACTGCTGGCTGATTTACGTCGTAGCTCATGGCTATCTGTCTCCTCTTTGTTTGTGAACGAGATGCGAGGCGCGTGCGAGCGGAGACCGCAAACCTTGTGACCTGGTACTCCGCGACATAGTAATTGACTTTGTGTGATATCTGGAACAAATGACAAAAGGTAATTATAACTGCTGCACTTACGAGATATTATGCGGTCATCAAGTTCGACTTTTCATGTAGATTATGATTGACATGTAGAGATTTTACAGCGACTGACTTTAATACTTCTTATAGAAAGTTATAAGAATATAAAAACACCTGACATTCTTCGTGAAAATTACATTTTAAAGAAGAACGGAATAATTTATTATAAAGTGATAAATTATAATAACACGTGCATGTTTGTTTGTCAAAGAGAGTATAAAACCGCGCCGAACGAATAAAATATCGTTATTTAATTTGTTTGTCGAATAAACGTGTTGTTAAATATGTTTAATATTTACACACTTCATATTCATCATTTTAACAATATTCGTGTAAAACAATTACTTTTTTAAAATCAAGCGGAATACAGATAAGATAAAAATACTGGCTCCAAATGATATACCACATACTAAGACTAGACCTTTGAAGAATACGTGCAATAATAAAATTCCTTTTCCTTTTATCGCCGTGGAAAATATTCGATAATATTTATTGAGTGAGGAAAAGACGGACGAATATATTATAAGAAAAGGAATGATAAAACGATAAAGAAGTTATTCCATAGACATTCTTATGAAAATCACATTACATCAATTAAGAACGAGTACCTGGATGACCGATGTTTGCTCGGTATTTTTTTTTAAATTGTGTTTTTTGGAAATTATATTTAAGTACGAATTACTAATAAAATGATGAAATATAAATAATATTTTTCGATCTTACCGATAATAAAAGTTAAGTTTATGTTTAAGTTGATTATAGATAAAACACAAATAAAATGACATTTTCTAAAAATGATTACTAGCTAGATCGATTTATCGCCCCCGAAACCTCCAATATACTAAATTTTATGAAAATCGTTGGAGCCGATTCCGAGATTCCAATTAATTATATATATATATATATATATATATATATATGTATACTCATTTAAAGATATTAGATAAATACGTAACACTACAAGTAAATATTGTATGAAATTTTAACATACTGCATATAAAGTGATTGAGGAAAAAATAACATTATAAATAACATTCGATGAAGCCAAGAAAGTTTCTCATTTATTAGAAAACGTTTTCCGGTCAATTCATTCATCGTAGTAAAGGCATTCACCATATATTCAACGCTAACAAATACGTGTAACGTATTGAGATGTGTTATAGACTTTGGAAATAAAGTGCTGTATAGCGAATTATTTAACACACTTTTGTATGATGCTTTAGGTATTATGAATGTACCACATCTATGTATTTCTATGTATGTGTTTGAGTGGTCTTCAGTGTAAAGCTTGTGCCTAATTTCAATTCTCTTTCAAAATGAATTATATTTTACGGAGGAAGGGAATTGTTAGGAAGAAAAACCGACATTCCGGCGTATCGATGCAACACTAGACCTATAAAAACATCAACGCTTAGTCCTCTTACTAATAAATCTGACACTTGACTTGGTAACAAAACTAATATTGTCTAAAAATAGGAACGGGAAATATTTTCTGTCTGTCCTATCCTCTGTCGATTAGTACTACTACTGCCAAGCATCTGCAATTGCGTATATCTATGGGCAGCGATCGCTTGATCGTTTAGGCCAGTCCTACCCAAAGTGGGCGATAACGTCCCCTTGTGGGCGTTGCAAGTCTCAAGTTGCGGGTTATAGTAAAAGTTTCGTTTAGAATTTCCGTTAATATACATATATAGGTCATAATAATTAATTAATTTAATTTGAAGTTATAGTGGTTTTTATTATGTGAAAATATGGGGGGCGCTAAAAAAATATTTATTCTCAAAGTGGGCAGTAGACAAATAAGTTTGGAAACCACTGTTTAGGCGAATACAGGTGGCCGCTCATTTACCACTTTATGATGTAAAAAAACAACAAAATAGTATAGTATAGTAACAGTTAAGTTGATTATAAATATTAGTAAAAAAAATAATTTACCTATTCTGTCTTCATATTCTCGAATTGATTGGATTGGATATCACACTGTAATTTTCATATTAAAAATCATATTACCACTTCGTGTATTCTAAATGTGAAAAGAAATGGTAATTCATTTTCGCGAATTCAGTAAATCTTAGTCATAGAATTGTGCGCCGTGTCAAGAATCAGAATAAAGAAATGTAAATCTTTGATTGTTGACACACGTACTAAAGTTATTCAGATTTTACGCGTGTACTTTATTATCAGAATAGGCAATTTCAAATATCTTTGATGTTAGACGATAATTCAAATTTTCATGCTTTAGAAGGCTGAGTATTTGCCCTTTATACCTTTAGTGATATTACATTTCGAAATATGACTTTTTCATTTATTAATTATTATAATAGTTTTTTTTCATTTAATTACAATATGAAAATGTAAATTAATAATATTGTAAGTATTGTTAGGATGAAAATCCGATACTGTGCCGGTGTACTGGCACAACACTAGCCTTACCAAAATGTCTACGTCTATGTCCCCTCAATATTCATTCTGACACTTGACTTTGCAATGTAAGCCTGTCATTCGCGCCAAAAGATTGTAATTAATAAATGTCTAAAAGTATCAAAAGAAATCTTTACAAGAAAACGGATCGAATAAGAAAAAGGAGACACCTCTACGCGTATTATTTTTGTAATTAGATTGTTGGTAAAAATATGTTTTGCATTAAGTTTTATACTACATCTTTTAAAAATAAATTCCTCGCAGCTTTAAGCTTATAACAACGAAATAATTTCACGGAATAGAGTTCTGTTATTAAACACGCAACATTTAAATTGCGAAGTTAAAACAACAAGCAGACCGTTTAAATCTAGCTGTCAGTAACACTGCTGCAGGTTGCGAATACGCTTTTATATGATATAACGTCTTGACTTATTTAAGTTACAAAGAAAAAATGTTAAATATAAATTTATTTACGATAGCTTTTGCCCGCGAATTCGGTCGCGTAGAATAAAAATAATCTGGTCATAAACAGCCTTTTGACTCAGTGATATTGTAGCATTTTAATGAAAAAATAATTTTTGAAATTCGCAGTTTATCACTTTATTCGTTACATACAAAAATCTTTTTAAACAACGATATAGATATTTCTAGAACATTTTTATTATATTACTAACCGCTTCCGTTTCCGAAATAAATGGACGACCGAAGTAATGTTAAATTACTCGTAAAATTTACCACGACCTCAATAAAACAATTGCTATTTTTTCCGGTGTCGTAAAATTTCGATGGCGTAAAATTTCATAAATAACTTACGTAAAATATACTTAATTAGAACTGATATAATTATTATAACTATAGTTTAGTTAAGTCAATTTTAAAATTATGTAAAATGATAATCGCCTTTGTAGTGAACAATTTATAAAAGTATAGAGAGATATTAAGACTACAAATAATAGGTAAAATAGATTTTATCGAAATAAAACGAAGGAAGTAAATATATTAAATTTGATCTGAATGTAATTATCACTCAACATTCCAATGTAATTGCCGTGAATACCAAAATTAATAGATCGATACCGTACAGTTCGCACGGAAGGAATTCTGTCTCTCACTTTCTTTGAAAATACATCAAAGACAAGAAAAGTGTTTGCTGCGAAAGTAAATTTCTTTTCTTTCCAACAAAAAATTGTAATGGAACAAACACGTGCTCAAAAGAATTTATAAATTGTATTTCGCTGCAATTTTGATGTAGAACATAGTCTGGAACATCACATAGGCTTTTTTTAGATTCGCGCAGACGGTGTCGCGTGCGACAGCTAGTTTAAGGATAAAACATACTCATTTAGAACCACACTGACCTCCATTTATCAATCACCGGCGATCAAAGGGTTATAGCAAGTAGGGTTGTAGCAACTCAACAGTATCTAAATATTTTTTTTTGTAGTAAAACAGTGTGTGTTTAGCTATTCAGTTTAATTTTAATGATAGTTACCATCCAAACTTTGTGGCAAGGAAGCAAGAAAGGAAACAACCCCACAATGTGATAAGACTTAGGCATGCCTTTACAAAAAATTTTAACCTTTAAAGTTTTCTATAAAAAAAGCTACGCGAGGAGTAAACAAGAACAAAAAGAATACTCTCATAATAATCACCTTAATTATTATCGTTTCAGATAAGACAGTATAATAAAGAAAGAAAATTATATCTCGAAATAAAGTTGTTTAGTACGTGACTAAAATGGCGGTAATAAGTGAGACGGCTCGAAGGACCAATTTCACGCCGAGGTTTCCTTAAGCCACATAACAAAGCTGATGACACTTTATCATATTTTCTTTTGTTCATTTAACACTTAGGGAGTAAAAGAAAATAAAAAGAGACAGTTCAAGCTTCATTTAAGGTAATCTATTTTGTAAGTCTATATAGGGATTATGTTAGTTTAAAATGCCTGTCCGTAATATGATGACAGCCATCTTGAAAAAACAAAAGCTGTCACAGTACTGAGGTTTGCGTTTGTCACTAGAAGTGTCTAGTCGCGTCTAAGTCTAGAAACGCAAACCTCGCAAAAATTGTAAACGTAAAACAGGCACTTTTCAAAGACACTTACTCTTATAAATGCGAAAGTTTATCTTATCTTGGATCCATCTTGAATGGATGGATGGATGTTTGTTTGAAGGTATCTCCGCAACGACTCAACGAATCTTTATGAAATTTGGCATATATGTAGAATATAGTCTGGAAGAACAGCTACAGCTACTTATTAAGTTTTTTTTTTATTTCCGCACGGACGGAGTCTCTATGACAATGTGCTACATAATACCAAATTTAAGCGATATCCGTTGAGCCATCCCGGAGCTACCTTCAAACAAACAAACATATATCCATCCATCAAAACATTTACATTTGTAATATTACTGTGATTGTGTTAAATTTGGTTGTATTAAACTGATAACAGTTTTCGAAAATTGTGTCGAAATATTACATTTGAATTTCCATGTCGTATATCGTGCGCGTGAAATTATAAACAAAGCTACGCT